AAGAAAGGAAGAAATTACTTGAGGTCCTTCTTGAAAGGAATTTGGCAAAGCTGAGGAAGTTTGTCAAGTAGAACTTGGGAAGGATGAGGAACAGTATCCATTGCTGTGTTCCTCCTCGTGCTGTTTCCTGTCTTCCCTCAAGAGTGTCATCCTTTCCTTGTTGTTCCCCTTGAATATATCCAGTAGAGTCTGGAGAGACACTGTATTTACTACTCTGAAGTAGCATGGTCTGTGTAATCAATTCCATTTCAGCTGCTGAATTTAAAATAAAACCACCAGACATTTAATGGAGCTCTGTTTTGTTCCTTTTTTAAATTTTTCTAAACTAGAATGAAGAACAGGAAGAAAAGGCATGTGCAGGGTCATGTTAACCTGAACATTAAACAAAATATTTCAATAAACAAGTAAAGGGAACAAGGTGCTTGAGTTGCAAAAGTGATGGCAGCAATGTCTTCTTTTCATGCAGTGTGCTTAGGAATCATAGAATGGTTTGGGTTGGAAGGGACCTTCAAGATCATCCAGTTCCAACCCCCCTGCATGGGCAGGGACACCTCCCACCAGCCCAGGCTGCTCCAAGCCCCATCCAACCTGCCCTTCAACACTGCCAGGGATGGGGCAGCCACAGCTTCCCTGGGCAACCTGGGCCAGGCTCTCACCACCCTCACACTCCACAATTCCCTCCTCATGTCTCACCTCAATCTCCCCTCCTCCACTTTTCATCCATTCCCCCTTGTCCTCTCCCTCCCTGCCCTTGTCCCAAGCCCCTCCCCAGCTTTCCTGGAGCCCCTTCAGGCCCTGGAAGGTGCTCTAAGGTCTCCCTGGAGCCTTTTCTTCTCCAGGCTGAACACCCCAAGTCTCCCAGCCTGGCTCCAGAGCAGAGCTGCTCCAGCCCAAGGCTCATCTTGGTGGCCCTTCTTTGGACTCGCTCCAACAGCTCCATGTCTGTCCTGTGCTGAGGGCTCCAGAACTGGTAAAGACTGAGTAGATCCAAGAATCAGTTCTTTTTACTGTGCTTGAAGGAGTCTGAATCCTATCTTCTAACTTCAAATAAAGTAGTGTACCAAAATGTAATATTCTGCAATTTCCCTGTAGTCATTCGAGCTTTAAAGTTTTCACTTCATTTAAATGCTTGGCTGTTTTTTGCAGACACAGCTGGATTGCCCAGGGTGATCACCTGCAAGCAAGAACTGTTGTTGTACCCACGACAGTGAATTTGTGGCCCTGTTATGTGTCATCATGTGCAGAGAATGTTTAGAGAATTCTGAACCCTGAATTATCTGACAGATGGGTTCTGAGTGAGCTATCTGGAAGATTTAGTCTGGGTTCACAAAAAGGAGAGAGGAAATTCAATTTGTAGCTGGTTAAGCATCCTGAGTAATTTTCTGAACCACTAAGAAAACTACCAATGCTTTGTTTTATTTCTTCAATGTTTAGAAAATCTAAGCTTAAGAAACTGGAGTCAAAGTAAATTTAAAGAACCTTGAAGGGCTAAAGCTGTGCATTTTTGATAAATAAATTACTGTACCAGAAAAGGGCAAATTAAGTTTCACCAAGGTTTTGATCTTAATGCCTATAGAGTTCTTCTGCCATTGAAACATAGCACAGGCTTCTGGACTATTTTAAATTTGCTTAAAACAGAGAGGTCAGAGCATGAGCTCTATCTTGCTGTGGAAGCAGGTATCACATGCTGTGTCCAGAATTAACCTCGTGTTATGCACTTAGTCTGCCTGAATAGTAGGAGAGAGTTTAGCTTTAATGATCCATCTCATTTCCCTGAATTGATGGCCTTTGTGTTGACCTTTTAAAAGCAGAAGAGATCAAATCTCTACAAAAGGTGTTGAAGTAGTACCTCCTTAGGGGGGAACAAAACCCAAACAAAACAAAAAAAACCCCAACAAACCCTCAAAACCTTTGCAGAACTGTTGCTGAGCATGTGAGGATGTGACTTTGTATGAGTTTTCAGTTGTCCCCTGCAAGGAACTCGTCATCTCCTGGGGGGGTGGCAGAAAACATAATGCCTTGGAAGATGCTGATGCAGAATGGAAAATGAAAAATAGAGTGGAAGTTTGTTTCCTTTCAGTGTGTTACTCCTGCTTCTCTGGAGTGTGTAAGGGAGACCAGCCCTCTCAAAATGTGTAGAGGAGTGGAAAAATAGTGGGAAGAGACATTATAAATGGGCTGCCTTTGGTCTCTTTTGAGATGCTGTTGTTTTAAAGCACTAATTCTGGCAGTTCTTTCTTCTCTCCCCCTGGCTTTGAACTTGTTTAAAACAAAGCTCAACCTTCAAATGAGAAGAGGAGGAAAAGCAGTTGGGAGCATTTGAGTTTTCATCTACCTTTTCTGCTCTTCAAACTTCCTTCTCAAAAGTCTCAGCAAGTGGAACAGGGCGCTGGCCAGACAGAAAGGCACTCATGAATACAGACACCTTCAACTTTGGATGCTGTTTTCTGTTCTTCCACTGGCAAGATTTTGGGGAAAACCAGTTTCCTGTCACTGCTTTCCCCCATGTAAAGCAGAAGGAAATTAGTTTAACAGTGGGTGTTGATTTGTTTCCAGTTTTGTGATAAAACGTGCTGCATAAGAACCAGTCAGTGTATCAATGATTGCATGAGCACTACTAAATCTGTAATAATTTTTCTCCCTCTTAAGTCAGTTTGGGATGCAGAGAAAAATTACCTGGTTTCCTCATTTTTCATTTCTTTCCCCAGTGCTCAGGACCCCAGGCCACTGATGTTATGAAGCAGATGCTTTTCATAGATCAGATAAAGGGTTGATGAAGTAACGGAGCCTCATGCAAGCATCCCACTGTGCTCTTGAAACTGGAATTTCATTCCTGGTAGTGATCGCATTTACCTTTAGAAAAACAATCTTTTAAAAAAAATGAGGTATTTGGAAGGAGGGAGGTAATATTAGTACTAAATCCTTGCTAACAGTGTTCAGTGTGTCACTAAAGGCCTAATGGTATTTAATATATGGATTCTTCTAAATAGTGGATGTATAATTTTCCTAAGATGTTTTATAAGCTGTAGGAGGAAGAGGTACAATTGTTCACAAATGCTTCACCAAGTCAGTTAAAATTGCCTTTGAGAGCAGAGTTGCACTAAAAAGAGAGAGGAGAGATGGAAAAAAGAAACCCCAAAACAGGGTCCTGCTCTGTCTAGAGTTTCAGGCAAGAGAGGAAAAGGTCTGGTTATCCAGAGCCAGATGCATTGTTAAAAGTTCATACTATCACTTTGACATTTAGAGTAGGACTCAGTGTCTTTGTAAATTCCTCTTCGTATTACCAGTGCAGGTCTCTGAGCTCAGACCATTTCACAAACCATAACATTTTTTAGTGAGTGATTGATCTGTATTATGTGTCCCAGCCATCAGAAGAATCTTGGGATGTTGCTTGTATAAACTGTAATACAATCTGATCCTGGGCATTTAGTTACAGACTTTCATAGACCTATTGGCGATACTCAAGCCTCCTGGATTTGGGAATAGGGCTTATCTGATACCTTAAAAAAAAAAAGGGAGGGGGGAGAAAAAAAGAAGAATTGAAGAAAAAAAAAAAGCCCCTCATTTTCTCTGTTCCCCACTTAAATAACTCAACACATCTGGTAACACTGTAGGATCATTGTCCTTTCAGTTCCTCTGCAGCTCATATTGCTACAATATTTCTTTGGTATTGAGTTTCCTAAAGGGCAATGTGATTTTTTATATTTTTTTTCCATTTTTTTTTTTTTTAAGGCTGTTTTTATAGGTCTTGCAAATTAACCCATATGCATTGCAAGAAAAAAACCATGACTTTTAATCAGCACCATTTCTAAAGTTAGCTCGTGCTCTGTGTCTATGAATATGTATATGAAGCAGTGTTTAAAAAAAAAGGAAAGCACAACCTTTCTGCTAGTACTCAAAACTAGGATACAAATGTGGTTTTATTGTCAAATAAAATATGCCTAAATGTTAAAATATCTTTTTCTTTTTGTGAGGGGTTTTATCATTTGGCTTCTTGTCTTCAGTTACAAGAATGATTAAAAAAAAAAAAAAAAGAATGGAAATGAAATCTTTTAATTCAATAAGAGCTACATTGAATTTTAGGAAGCAAGAAGAGGAATCAGATATAGACTCATGCATAGGAAATGAAACCTTCAAGAAATTAAAACTTTGTGAGTAACTAAAGGGGTAGCCTTAAGGTGAGCTTATTTGAAATGCCTGCATTTAATTTTACAATAAATGTTGAGTATCTTCTTCCAATTAAGACAGTTCATGTGCATGACTTTAAATTGTACAGTAGTTCCAGGGAGACCGTGAGCTGCTTGTTTTACATTCTGGATCAAGTTCAGATTTTTAGGCTTCACTTGAATAAAATAAAAAAGCCTGAACCCTGAAGATAATACAGATTGATAAATCTGATTTAAACATTCCCGTGTTGCAGACTTTCAGTGGATGTGGTGCAGCTGAGCCTCAGGCCATGCACTAAATACATCCACAGTGCATTCCCAGGGCACCTGAATACCAAATGATCACATTTGAAAGGTTACCTTTCCATGGATTCTGACTTTTCTGTATTAGCCAGGAAGATTAGAATTTTAACAGCTCCCAGTGAGAGGTATTGGGAAGTGTTTGCTTGGCAGGAAAAAAAAAACAACAAACCAAAACAAAGCAAAGCCCAGATGAGGTACTGTCTCATATTCATGAACTGGGATTTATTAGTTCTTGTGAATGTCCTTGTGAGAATACACCCTATAGTTCACACTTTAGGGGGGAAAAAAATAAATCTTGTTTTCTATTTATAATAAAACTTTGATAGAAGAGTTCCTGTAGCAGAGGTTTTAGCAGGGAGACAAGATCATGGTTGTGCAGAATATATCCCAGTAAATCCTGCAGGCTTTCACAGCTAGCTTCCTGCAAGGAAAGTCATGACCATTTACCTCTCTGGAAATCTGGCAGTAGCTTTGTTAGTAAATTTGGTGATAATTAAAGATAGCAAGTAATTTTCTCCTTTTCTTTTGCAGGTTGTGGAACTCATTTCAAGTGCTATTGGTGACTTAGTTCAAGGCATTTATTATGAAAACTCAAAAACATCTGAGGTAAGAGTTTTGGTAGTTTTACATACTCAAGAAGTTTGGTGATATTAATGTGTGACTACAATAAATTGTGATGACTCTCTCATCTGTTTCAAAGGAGAGGGCAGAGGGAGGAAGAGAATTAGCTGCAGTCCTAATGAGTTTCAGCAGTAACATCGTTATGACACCTGTGAACTCTGATGGAAGTTTCTAGAAATGCTCAAGGAGGGACTATTTTATTTCTGTGGGTGCTTTATAAAACAGTATCAGGTGTCATTAACAGGAGCTTCAGGCATATCTTTGTACTGGCTTCCCAAACCCCCCCAGAGGTTTGTAGCCAAGGCTCTGTTAGAGGCATTTATTACAATGTTGTCAACATCATTCTTATATCTCTCAGTTTCAAGCCCAAAGATGTTTACAAAATGCTTTCTCTCAGACCTACATCAGGTCTGATGTTCACCTTTTGGTAGTGTCAACATGAGGTTGGTCCTGAAGTGCAACACTGTCATCTTCTCCACCAAGAGTCACCATGCAAGCTTTGCAGGAGCTGGCATGGGCAAAGCCAGTGGCTGCCAGTGTTTCCCATCAGACAATCTTGTTTTTCTTTGAGGGCAGTTATGGATGTACTGTGATATTGTTTGGCAAGGACTGTAAAGAAAATTGATCAAATTAGATCTAGGTATTTTTGTATTTACTGGAATATTTCAGGAAACCTGTAGAGATGCTTGTTGAGGTAGCCTTGCTTGGGCAGGGTGTTGGAGCAAAAACCAGTTCTTTCTTTCATTTCTATGACTGTATCATAACACATGCAAAAAAGAATATAATTTAAAGTTGCCATGACCTCTACAGCTTTATGATGGCAAGTTTTCACTGTATGGGGATGATAAGCAGTGTGTATATGTGAATATCTATCTTGAAATCCACTGAGGTGGGTTTACTTACAGTGACATTGTGTCATTTGCCTAGTTTGCCTCAGAGACCTGAACTAAATGTTCAGAAGGCAAAATGGCTTGAAGATTTGTCCTGGTTTGAGCAGAACTATAGGAAGTAGTTTGTACTTGTTGTGTATTTAGATTGCAGCTCTGGTTTACTGTTGCTTTACTGTAATATGTTGCAAAATTAATCCCTCAGTGGAAGCCCTGATTGCTGGGTTACTGCTTCAGGAGATACCTGCACAGGTGGCTCTGCACCAGCCAACCACAGTGGGCAAGCAGAGACTATTGAGCTGTGGATGTGCCAGCAGGGAACTGTGGCTGAGCTCTGGAGGAGGGTTCTGCTGCACACCCAGAGACACCAGTGATCAGTATCTGTCTCTTGCTCTGCAGCAGCAAAGACATGTTACTAGAGGACCACAAAGATGTTCCTTAGGCTGGAGCAGCTCTGCGCTGGAAGACAGGCTGCGAGAGTTGGGGTGTTCAGCCTGGAGAAGAGAAGGCTCCAGGAAGACCTTAGAGCACCTTCCAGGGCCTGAAGGGGCTCCAGGAAAGCTGGGGAGGGGCTTGGGACAAGGGCAGGGAGGGAGAGGGCAAGGGGGAATGGATGAAACCTGGGGGAGGGGAGATTGAGGTGAGACATGAGGAGGAAATTGTGGAGTGTGAGGGTGGTGAGAGCCTGGCCCAGGTTGTCCAGGGAAGCTGTGGCTGCCCCATCCCTGGCAGTGTTGAAGGGCAGGTTGGATGGGGCTTGGAGCAACCTGGGCTGGTGGGAGGTGTCCCTGCCCATGCAGGGGGTTGGAACTGGATGGTCTTGAAGGTCCCTTCCAACCCAAACCATTCTGTGATTCTCTGAAAACTGACCTAGTTTAAGCTTCTCTCTGTCATTTTGATGGAAACCAGGTAGGTGGGAAGTGATCACACTGATGAGCTGAGCTCTCCCCTCAGAGGAAGCCAGAGCCTGGAGCAAGAATGCAATAATGGCACATGTGGGAGACACCTGGGGCCACGGGCCAGCGTGTGCAGAGCCAGCCTGAGGAGGGGACCCTGGGTGGGAGTGTGGCAGCAATGACATGCTGGGAGGTTGGCAGTCCTGCACCTGCTGTGTATAACCCCTGGAGAAACAGACTGCAGCCTTCAGGGTTGCTCCTGTGCACAGCATTGTATGTCAGAATAGATGAGGTCTTTGAGATATTTGCAAAGAATGCTTGAAATCTTATTTTTCACATTCAAGCAGGTTTCTAAATACAAGTAGATCCCAGATATATTTAAAAACAACTACTTGTGTGTGCAAATAAAGCTCTACAAGTTCACCTCAGCAGAAACTGCATTTTCTTTTCAACGTGGCCCCTGTATAAATGAGAAATGTTGTGAATTCCTTTGGGTTCCTGCCACTGCAGAAGGTCTTAATCCTAATTTTCTTAGTCTTTTGTTGTTTTCTGTTTATTTTCAGTTGGGTTACTGAAGCACATACACCACATGTGTAGGTTGCAAGGGAAGTGTGAGATAAACCGAGCACAGCTGCATGATGTTTACCCTGCCCTCTCCCAATTACTAATAGCAAAGACTTATTTCAGTGACTCTTTCTGGCAAAAGGATGTTAAAAATACAGTATAACCTTCCTAAGGGCAACCCAGTCAACTCCAAACACCATTAGTATGGTGGCATAATAGATAATGGAAATTACATGACAGTATGTGAAGGTTAGTCTTAATGGTTAGTTCATGGCTGAGACCTGGAACAAACTAGAGATCTGCTTGAATTATGTTGTGTTTTGTTTTTTTTTTATCTTGTCCTCTGGGAAATTTGGTTCCATGTTGTGTATGAGACATATTCCTGCT